GGAAAATGTCGTGTTTCCATACGGAAGTGTTTTCGAGTAACAGAGGAGGGCAGACGTACGTCTCCTCCGGTGCTGTTCAGCCACATAATTCTTTTTTGGCTTTTCGTATCTCACTCCCCTTAACTATCAACCAAGACTTTTATTAGCAGCTAAAATTAAAAGGACTCGAGTTGAAAGTTTATTATGAGATAATAACGTCCTTTCAAGCTGAGATTCATATTTATAACTTAAAATTTTAATTTGTTAATAATAGTTGGTTGAGATTTTATGTGTCCTTCTAATTAAATAAGAATTTCTTATAAATTTAAAACTTTTTACAGGATTAAATATATTTAACACTCCATTTGATTTGGATGATAGTAACACTCTATGAGCGTTTTTCTTAAACAACTAAGTGTTTGGAAAAATACTTCTACGTTCTATTAAATATTAAATATTAATTATCAATTAATAATTATAACTATAAGTTATTTTTATCAATTAAATTATATAAAACCTTAAACTTATCCTGAATCTTTTAATACAATCCTCACAAATTTTTAAAATTTACTGAAAGAGAAATTAATGTTATTTTTTCATTGACATTCACTAATTATAATGCTAAATATGTTAATTTCCTGTAAAGCAATAAGAACACAAGGAGGAAACCTAGTTATTTTATTTACAAATTCCTTGAATTTAGATTACTTTACTAAACACAATCTGGTATATATAGATACTAACAAAAAGAGTAAAGTATCTTCCTTTTGTGGAGCAACACTTGGGGCAGGTGAAATCTAATTAGGTTGCACTTGATGATGTGTATGACTCTTTTTTGTGTCTAGTGGACTTTACTTCTGAATTAAGAAAACATAAAAAAAATGTACTCATGTTGTAGGCCTTGTGGTTAACAAGGCCGAGTAAGAAGCAACTTGACTCAGATTTAGGGCATATTTGATTTAGTTTTTAAGTACTTCAGTTTTTTTTATATTATTTATTTTTCATAAATTTAAATTTTTTTAAAAAATTTATATCTTTTAGTTTTTTTTAATATTAAAAAAATTTTAAACAATAAATTTTAAAAAGTTTCAAACTTTTACTTTTTAAAAACTTCATTTTTACTCATTTTTTACTCTTTCTAAATATAACTTTTAAATTTTTTCTCTAATAAAAATTTAAACTTATAAACCATAAATAGTATCAAAAAAGTTGAATTACTTAACAGCTTCATCAATCATGCTAACCACTATCAATGTCATCCCTTATCCTCGCTCAACGGTGGAGCCAAAAAAATATTTTTTTTAAAGAGAAAAAGTAAAAGATAGATTAAGAAATGGGATTAAATGGTATACAAAATAAAAATTTGAGGACAAAAATGAT